CACCATAAAGCAGTTATTATCTCTGATTAGTGAAACAGTTTGTTTGAAAGCAATCAGTTTTGAAGAATACAGAGAGGAGGGCAAGTTTAAAAATCTATGAGGTTTATAGAGAGGGCTATTATTTGACAAACAACAAATGATTTAAAATGGTCTGAACTAACAATTATTCAGAGTCACTTTCATGTTATAGACGTCTATAAATAATACTTTTTAAACACTTCACACAGTTCTCCTCGATCTACTTGTAATTGTGGGGCATTATTAGTTTCATGTGTATCATGTTTCCAGATACTGGGTGTTGAAAGATTTATTCATGTTGAGCTGTGCCCTAAGGTAATTTTAGTTTTCATAAAACCTAATTCTACAATTATAACCATCTGAGAAAATGAGTATTCTTCCTATCTAACACTGTAGTAAGAAGAAATATTTTTATCATAAGCCTGATCCTCACAAGTGATTTTTTTCATTTTCCTTAAACTCCTTACTTAAAAATTTTTTCTTATTAAACCCTCAACCCACAAATGTTCAACTGTCATAAAAGATCAGTGTTACTGAACTGCCAGTATTAATCTTTTGTTTGAAATGTATAAAGAAAGACAAATAAAGGAGACATTGCAAAATGTCTTTGTGGAGTAGAAGCAGATATTGAAATGATAAATAACATAACCTGCAAAAACTAGTACTAATGTTCTTGGGTAGAAGAAATGCCTAAATATCAAAGACAGGGGCATCACTGTCAGGTGCTCCATAAATAAACCATGGACAATTCCTGACATTGGACCTTTCATTCTTGCAATGCAATGCTAAATAAGCATGCTCTTCTTGCCTGTCTGAATTCTACATGTCCATTTCCAGAAATGCTGCTGCAGATAAGTAACACTGTCATGTTTGTTTTGTCACCTACATGCCGATTATCTTCTCCTATCTGCAGTTTGGGAATATTATCAAGGGAAGAAGCAATCTCTCAGAAAACCTTTCCTAATGTGGCTGTATTTGATAATTTCTGTAAGGGGCTTCCATAAATAAACTTTGTAGAAACACACATGTATTTTCCAAGATTTGACTCATAGACCATGGAGAAAGGAACGACTTATAGTACGGATTTGGGAATTCACAACCGAAAGGAGAATGAAGTCACTCATTCTATGTATTTTCATTTATTCTCTGAAAATGCAATATCAGAGGATGGCATATCCAGTTCTTTGAGATGCTTCCTCAATGACTCTACTTTCTCTACCTTCCTAACCTCTTCTGATTTATATTCTTTTGTTTTGACAAATTGTTTATGATGCATTTGCTACTGATGCACATATCATAAAATTATTTCTGCCAAGCTTCCTCTGTGACCTGCCCGTGGGACATGACATGCTCCAAGATGCATCGCTCTATCAACCCGCATTTTTCCAGGACAATGCAAATTATGACAAATTCCATCATCCTGCATTATGTGGTTCATGCTAATCTCACTAATTCTAAAGAATCAGGAGGGCTTGCTGTTCTGCTGAAGGGCATACTGTCTGATTGAATGATAGGAAAACAACATTTGCCTCCCCCTTCTCGCAATCCCAGCTGTGGCCACCACTGCCCCACTTCTGCGAGGCAACTGCTCTTGCTGTGTAACTTCCACAGCAGAATTAACTTTACATCAATTGAGCCGTCTGACAGGAAACTACAGATCACCAATCAAGACTGTTCTCAAGTCCAGAAAATAAAAGGCATTCCGTGGGAAAATGCAAGGAGTAAATAGCATTTTTACTGACTGCTGGATACCCTTATTCATTTTTAGCTATTTAAAATGAAGAGTTAAGATCAAATGTATCATTTATATGATAAAAAAAAAGAAGCAGACAGTTTTTAGACTTGAGTGCTTTTGATTGGCAGTTTTTTTTCTGCTGGATCACTGCAAATGGCCACCTGAGAAGTCTTAAGAGTAAGACTGCTAACCTTGAGGACAATCCCGCTGTGCTTCAGAAGGTGGCAGTATTACTACATGAAAGAAGCCTAAAGTCTACGTGATATTCCATGGCCACATTGCTGAAATAAACATGTTTAATTCTCAAAGAAACATATATTTTATCCGGTGGCATAATTTACTTATAACATTAAAACTCAAACATGGAGCAATTTGTAGCAATAACCATGATTATGCTGTTAGTGGCCCAAATGTCACTGTCTAGATTAGGCTAAATGATACCTAGCACCGGAGAGCTTCTATGATTTATTTTTTATGATCACGGGTAGAACTTGCATGCTTAAAAGGCTCACCAGAAAACTGCCTTCAATAAATAAAAAAGGATGAAAATATTGAAGGGATCTCGTGTTATTGTTCAGAGATGTGATTGTAAAAAATTGTCATAGGAATGAGGTAAATTTTAAATCTCAGGGACACGTCCAAAAAAAAGAGGTAGATATTTTGAACATTTCAAATGTTATGTTTTAGGTTTTAAAATATTTTGCTGTAAGCAAATAACTCACCTTATAAGATAGTAAAATGTGTCCTTTATGAGTGTCTTCTGAAACGTCAGAAGAAAATAAAGACTTCTAAATATATGTAATGCACTAAAATTGATTATTTTAACTACTTCTAGAAAATGTAGTAAATATAAATCTGTTGAGAAGTGTTAGGAGTAAAATATCCTATTCAAACCTCTAATAATTTACTTTTGGGGAATTCTGGTCTAATGCATACTTCTACCTGGAAAATACACAATATTATAGACCCTTTTTTGGCCATTATCATACATGAAATTGAAATTGTTATGCATAATCAGGGGAAAAGGAAGGCAAACTGTACTATCTAAAGTTGAAAAAGGATTTTACATTAAACACACATTTTACTAGTTACTAAAATAAGGGCAAATTTAAGTCAGCATTGACATCAGTGCTTAAGGGAAGGTTGCATAGTTGCTTTCACATTTTGCGGAGTCCTTATATAAGCTTGATAAGTACACAGCACAAATCGACATTAAAATACTACTAAGAAGATACAGGAAGATCTTTAGCTTTCTACTTTACTCCCAGGGACACCCAAGCCCCTCAGAGGAATACGACAACGTGAGCATGGCTTCAGCCAAGGCACTGGACACACCCTGTGCATGCTGTGGCTTGTTGACATGAACCAGGGCAGGCAGACACCAATAATACATGAAGTGCGGTTCAGAGGCAATTAGGATCAGTTGTCAAGGCCAGGCCATTAATGAAAGAACATGTCAGAGGAGCTGGAGACTTCAATGGTTGAGGGCAAGAAGGCGATTTAGTGTGACAGATCGAGTCCTTCCAATGTCCTCAGTGGTACATGCTAATACCAGCCTTAACAACCTTTTGTGGCAGTGTATAATGCGACTAACATGGACTTTGATTCAGCAAAATGACTGCTGCCACTGTTAGTCTGTCTCATTCGAACAACAGTAAAAGCATTGCTACAAATAATTATCCACTTCCGTCCCTCCCTCCACCACTTAATGCATCCGCTCTTTGTGCATGCCAGAGTGTTTGTTACTAGAAGGTTAGGGTATTTTTCACTTTTGGTTTATGTGATACCTTTTTTTCTGGCTGCACATATAATCCCAACTAATTAACTACAATGGATTTTACGAGGCAAAATAAATAATTAAACTCATCCCTTTCTCACGTAGTTAACATTAAAAGTTCCCAGCACAAGTCGATTTTGTCTAAAAGAAACAATGTCCACCGTGTAAGCTACTCACAGGCAATAAGGGACTATGCTCCAAAAGCATTAGCAGAAAATTCACCTAATCCTCAAAGAAGTGAAAGCTGGAGCATTACAGAAAATAATCTCACTGCCATTTTTTTTTTTTTGGTCTTTACAATTTGATAGTTTATTTAAAATAAAAACCTACATGCCTCTAACCAGACAATCAACAATAAGTACAAAAAATATGTTAAACACTGGTTAGCAATCCAGGTAAAAAATAACAAGGAAAGCATGATCTTCTAACACAGCCTACAGACTTTCATGTTATGATAAAATGCCACAGTATCACACTCTTAAATTGTTTTTATGTATAAACCCTATAATTTAATTTTTGGTTCTTCTTCCATATTTTCTGCTCTTTTGGATAAGATATTCTTATGAAGGAGAAACTGACAATAGATGGTAAATGGCATAAATTTTCTTGTAGTCTCTTAACGTTCCCATCCCCTCTCAGTTTTCCAGGATTTACTCTAGCATCTCAGCTACAAAAGATGATGTTGTGATACCTTAGGGCTTAAGGCAGAGAGCTCAGCCTGGTCTGCTTATGAATGACCAGGCAGATATGAAGAAAGGTGTTTGGGTAGAGATTAATGGGAATCATGTTGTCAGGGTGGTAACTTCTTACAATATATACATTTTTATTCTAGGTCTTATTTTTCCTTTTCTTCTGCGAGAGTTTTTGCTTCTTAATTTCCTATCTCACATACCACTGTTCTCTTTTTTGTAATCTTGTTCACGTCTCCTTGCTCACTCTTTTTTTTCTGACCTTAGCCATTGCCACTCCTTTCTCTTAATACTTGATTCATTACCAGCTTTCTTGCTTCCTCCTATAAGAACTTTCTGCCCTTCTCAGGAAAGCTTTCAGAACTGAGCCCTAAAAGGAGTGCTAGTGTTAAAAGAATTATCAGTACAAACATCTAAACGTTCAGGCGATCCCAAAACACATTTTCATAGATAAATAATTTTTTTGACAAAAAATGTATTTAGGAAAACAGGTTATCGTGCTAAAAAATATATTCCTTATAGTTGTAACCAAAGAAAACACACTTTCCAAACATCTGGCAGTGTTATTAAGCTATTAGTACATTAAAAAATACTATAAATATAAATTGTCTACTGGTCTTGACCGATAATGAATATATCCCCTTCTAGAGAGAAGTTCAATAGACCAACGATCAACTCTTGGTCAGTGAGCAAGACACCTAGCTTAAGATGAGCCCTCCAAGTCTAGGTTTCTCTTGACAGACATGATATTTTTGCATCTTGATATGAGAGTTTTTGATACCTGTGTTTCCGCCCGCACTGGTAGGACTAATATGATCATGGAACTGGTTCAGCTGTGACAGGGACTCGTTTTCGTTATTTTTTCAGGCTCCTGGCCTCACGACACAGAAATAGACCTCCTGGGCCAGAAGTTAATAGTGCAAAGTTAGTGATGACACTACCCATTGGTAAGACTTCAGAGTCTGTTGAAATAAAAACAATTTTATATTTATTCATCTGGATAATAAAAAATTTCAAGTCTATGAAAAGGAAATTCTGAGAAACTTCCTTTTAGAAAAAGAAGTGCAGATTTTTGAAGTTAGCACCTTTTGGAGACGTCCTTTGATATGATGTTCAGTCTCTCTCCCTCTTTGTTAGAAAACCTGGCATTTGTCATCTGTCATAACGTGTTTACTCAGAGGATAACATTTTAAAGGTATTATTTTGTCTTCTGAAAACTCTGAGAAGGTTTGTTTTCCTTTACAAGCATAATTATATCTAGTTTCTTCAATCAGTGCCTCATATTTTAATAATACGTTGCCATTTGGGTATAGTTATAACCATAATAATGAATGCGGGGTTCAAAGATCACTAGATATATAGATGGCATGAACCATTAGCAAGAAATATTCTACACTATAGAGATCACACATAAAAAACCATGAAATTCACTATAGAATTTGCTATTCTGACTAAGGCATCTTTCTTTGTAATTAACATAAATCTCTTTACAAAACGTGCTAGTTTTAATAACAAATAGGGACATTTTACAGAAAAAATAAAGAATAGAATACAAATAAAATTATAATATGAATAATTTAGTTATCTCCTTCTCATATCTCATAAAGACATTGTTTAGCTATAATGCACCTAAACTGGAACTATTTCTCTTAAAAAATAGGCTTATCTCCTTTTCCTATATGCCATTGAAATTCATATCGTCACTTTCACACAAAAACACATAATTAATCCTAATTGTTTCCAACACTCTGAAGAGGAAAAATGGAATCTGTGGTTTCTCTCTTTTATTTGTCTTAAGCCTTTCTGGCCACAAGGGCACCATTTAGTAAATTACTTCCTCCCAAATGCTGGCCATTGGCCTCTTGGCCTGAAGGAGTTAATGCAGTTGCAAGAGGTGAGTCACTGAATTCCTTTGTGACAGAAAGATGAAACTCAGTGATTGCTCAGAGGTGTCCTACTCCGCTATTGAATGATGATCCAGTAAGGCAAAAAAATCACTTCTTACACACAGGTCTTAACAAGACAGATGGAGAGTATGCACTGTAAATGCACAGAAGAGGTGGGTGTGAGAGGAATGTAATGGTGTTCCTGACTGGCACGAAATTACAATGGAAACAGAAGGAAATCTTCCTTAGAGATAATCCTTCAAATTTGTTATGACTTTTGCCCAAGAGGACCTAACTCTGTACTACTATCTTACTTTGTCTTGGGTGACACTTTTAGCATGAGATGAGCACAGTTTCCATAAAACCTTTCGCATTCCAGCCTCTAGACTCCAAGTCCTACTCAGCTGGGAGAGAGTCCCACATCTCAGCTAGTTAAGTCGTTTGCTCCAACTCTGACTAACTCTGCCTTTCCCAAATAACTAGCTTTGGCATGGCCACATTCCCCAAAGAGCCTCAGTTCCTGACACTACTGCAAATATGGCCAACTGCTTCCTTGCTTCAAACTGTTGCAATGCTACTTTCTATCCTCTTCTCCTCTCCTCCTTCCTGCCCAATTCCACCCCAAAAGCACCTTTTCTCTCCTGGGTCCACCATGCTCCCTCAGACACTTATAGAACTGTAACAGTTGTTATTTCCTTAGTCAGGACTAGGTTCTCACAGGAGCTATGTTTGAAGTTGCCTCCAGAGTTTTGTTGTCCCCCAAATCAGCACTTTCTCTGGTGATTGCTGTTGCAATTAATACAGTCTTTGAATAGTTTTTTGCTTCCAGACGTTAGGTTCACTGTATTGCTCGCTCAAGATCAGCTAGGTCATGTGCACCAGGATTGAGCTGTAGACCTGCAAAAGGAGCCCCACTAATTGCAGCAAGATGTCTCCCTCGCAATTTCAACAATGTCTCCTGTTGGTTCTCTTTAGCTCCCTTTGCACTGCCTCCCCCGTGTCAACCCTCTTTTTTTGGTCATCAACATCTGCCAGCTCTGATTGAGCACCTACTATATGCCATACACTGTGCCTGAGATACAGCAGTGAACAAAAGCAGGTATAGGCCCCTTTCAATGGAGCTTATTTTAGTAAAGAAGTCAAATCTGATCAAAACAATCCCACAGATAGGTGTAAAATGGCAACCGTGACATGTGGTAAATAGATTCAAAGGTGAAGTGCAAGGTGCTGTAAGAGCCTGGTCAGGGAGGCAAGGGAGTCAGAAAAAGTTTTCCTGAGGATGTGAGGCTTGTGCAGAGATCTGAGAGAAGACAGATAGTTAGCTAGTTTCCAGGCACAGACTGAGGTATGTGCAAATGTCCTGTTGCAGGAAGGAGCGTGGTGAGTTCAAGGGGCTCAGTGAAACTGCCTCTCCTCACAGCCCCCAAACCCCTCCTATTGCTACATCAGCTACCTCAGGATTGAACGGAAGTCCTTGGAATTGCCTTGCTCCCAATGAGGTCGTTCTTCCTCAACTGAAACACCACCATCTCACCTCTACAAAGTAGCTGAGAAACCAAGTCTGTGAAGAAGGCTCATATGGACTGACCACCCACTTTCCCTGTTACCATTGAGACTAATCAGATCCGTGTTATCTCAGTCCAAGCTTCCCAAGTTGTTTCCATTTGACCCCATCTCCCACCCATCTCCGACTGCCCATAGCCTTTCCCTGGGCCCCACAGAAAGCCCAAACTTAATCCCACAACAAAAAAATTCTCCATATCCACAATCCCTTCTCTCAACTCTCTTTTCATCTTTTTGCTCAGTGAAATCAGGCTATATTCCAAGCCCACATCTTCCCCCAAGGCCATCAAAACAGAGGCTCTTTTTTTCTTTCCCACTTCACATCCTAGTAGCTGGGGCTGCTGTGTCCTTTCTAGTTCCTTAAAAGCTACAACCTCTTAGAAGCGGAAAACCGCCAGACTGCACCACCCTTCCCCTACTGGATATCGTCAAGCACCTATGACTTGGCACCACACTCATTCACGGACTAAGTTACCATCTATGTCACTGTCTCCCACCATGCCATTACTCCTGTCAGCCTTGGTGGCTTCCACAGCTAGATAGATAATCCATCTGACGCTGTGGACTCTCAGGTGTCTGAATTCTCCATTTCCTACAACCTTTTCCCTCAGCCTGCCTCAGTTACCCATTCCCATAGTTGTCAGAGCTGTGTTTTCAAACTGCAAGTTTTGGTCCATTGGTAATCACAAAAATCAGTGAATTTTGATTTGATTTAATGAGTTAAAACCAGGCTTTGTTCTTTTAAGCAACATAGAATAGATTTTAAAATACGTTTATTACATTAAGCAAGGTAAACATTGTTTCATGAAAGTTGCTTTCAGTTACATATCACACATATATGGGCATACTAAGTTGTTTTGAAAATTATACTACTTACTGGGTCCAGTCCAAAAAGTGCGAGAAACATTGGCCAACTATGTCATCACCAATAACCAAATTACTTCCAAAATTTTGATTTTAAACATCCCATTTTCTAACTACTATCTTCTAACCTTAGAGCCTACTTGTTCTAGTCTCCTCTCTCTAAAATTTTTTAATCTCATTCAGACTTCCAACTCATTGATTCCACGACTTTTTACTATACTCGCACCTCCCCCTTCACATGCTCATCTCCCTCCTCATCTGCTCAGATTCTGGGTTCGATCCTTTAATCATACCTTTAACTTCTTTGTCCCTTGCTACTCTATTGTATTTTCTTGTTAAAATCCCAAAAAACTACATGCAACTCTCCAACTACTTGGTGCCACCATCCAAACTGCTGATTATCTCTGGAGAAAAACACCTAACTATGCAGACAGATACCACATTAAATTTATGATCACAAATTTCAAACAGGCCTCTAATGTCGCTCAGTTCTCCTATATTTCCTCAGTATTTTAACTTCCTCATTCTCCTGACAACCATTTTATACCTCATCTTCTCTAAGCTGATATCCTGGCGTCTTATTTCATTTTCCTAGTGCCAAATCTACAAACAGATGAGCCATACTGCACCTTCTCTCAGATGACAATCGAATCATCCCTGCTCCTATTTAACATTAATCATTCCAATTAAAGTTCCCATCCATTTTGCCAATACAAGGACTTAGAGTCTAAAATTACTATTTTGCTGTCCTATGTGTGGTTTTATCCTTTCATTTGGATATACCCATTAACATAAAAATATGCTGTAGTAACTTCCACCTTAAAAACAATAATCTCTTGACCCCAATTTGCAACTGCCCTATTTCTGTTCCCCTACATAGCAAAACTCCTTGGAAGCGCAGTCCATATCCACTGTCTCTTCTCCCACTTGCACTTTAACCAATAGGTATCAGGCGTTTATCTCTACCAGTCTGTTAAATGTAGTCTTGTCTAAGTTCTCAACAATGCCCACTTTGCCAAATCCAGAGGTAAGTTTCCTGTCCTCATCTTATTCCATTCAGAGCAGCATTTGTTCCACTACCCAATTCTTCTTTATTTTTTTCCCATTCCCTCATTCTTTAAGCACTTCTGTCACTTCCGAGATACCACATTTTCTTGGTTTTCTTTTTATCTCTAACAGATAGGAATACACAAAAGGAGATTAACTGATTTTATTAAGAGTGCTACAGGACTCAATCCCTCTCCGCTTCATTTCTTTATCTTTTCACTATAGGTGACTTTATTCAGTTCCTAGATTTTAACCCCATCTATATGCTATGACTTTCAATTTTATACCTAAGGCCTGACCTCTCCTTGAGTTCCAGACTCATACAATCATCTACCTGCTTCACACAGCCACTTGGATGTCTATCAGGTACTGTAAATTTAACCCGCCCTGGCCAAAAGAAAAACCTGATTTTCCCCTATGCTCACCAAACCCTCCCTACTCTTCTCCATCTCAATTTAGAGGACTACCATTCATTTGATGGTCAAGCCAAATATCTAGGCACCATCCTTAATTCCCACCTTTCTTTTACCAATCAATGGTAAATTCTGTTAGCTCTATCTCCAGAGTGTGTGCCAAACCATCCACTTTTACTTCCTATCACCAACTCCTATCTCTCCAAAGATTTTCTTTCTCATTCACTATGCTCCCCCAACTCTAGCTCCTTCCTGCCTCTTTCCCAGATCTTCACATAGCTAATCCTTGGGAGAAAGACATCCTTGACAATCTAATCTAAAAGTGGATACCTCTCCTAATTATTCTCTATCTCTGTGTCTTAATTTATTTCCCTCACAGTACTTAGCCGAATCTGAAATTATTCTACTTGTTTGTGTATTTAGTGTCTGCTTCTCCACTAAAATATAAATATTTTAAGGTCTGGGCTGTATGTTCATCTCGTAGAATGTAGTTGAATGAATGAATGGAAGCTGAAAGTGTGGACCAGGTGGAAAGAGTAGTACTGGAGAAGAAACAAAGGGGTCAACACAATCAAATATGCACTATTAAGAGAACATCACTCTGGCTGGAGAGCCAGAGTTGATACCAAGACCAGTGAGGAAGCTGCTAGAACAGTCTGGGTGAGTGATGATGGGAGTTTGTACTAAGACTGTAAGGGCAGAGGTGGTGAGAAGTGAATGGATTCCAGAGATATTTTGAAAGAAGATCACTTGATGTCTTATCACATTTGGATATGAAAAATGAGGGGAAGGGAAAAGGAGATTTGAAGGATGTCATCAAGGTTTTGTGTTTACCCACCACTGACCTAGGGACTTTGGTAGAGGCCAAGATTTAAGGGATAAATCATGAATTTTAGTTTGGGCATCCTAAGTTTGATCTCTCTTCACACATTTATGAAAACGGCAAAATACAGTTAGATATAAAAGTCAGGAGCACTGAGGAATGCTCTAGACTAAGGATATAAATTTGTGAGTTTTTTGTGTGTACATAGGTGGTGACTGAGGTCATACATATGGATGAGATTACTTACGAAGGAAGTATGGCATGAAAAGAGGGCCTAGAGCTGAACTCACAGAAGGTAGAGAGGATGAGCCTGCAAAGGAGACAGAGAAGAAACAGCCAGTGAGATGAGGGACACAAACAAACAAGAGCTCAGTACGTGGGCAGCTTGCATGTCTGCCTCTGCTTTCATCCTCCTACCTGCACTCACATGGCAACTCACCAGTTGACTCAGCTTTGCATCTTGGCTGGTGCCAGGCTCTGCATTTGCTCTGTCCATACTGAGTAGTGGTAATTCACCAAGCTGCTTCTGGTCTTTGTCCTCGAGTGCTGACCTGGTTTTATCTTTTCTGTACCCATGTTGGCCTTCAAATCCCCAAAAGACTCTCCCGACTATGTGGCATGGTTCACCCAACTACAAAAAAAGCAGCACAGTGTTGTGGTAAAGAGCCAGAAAAGTCTGGGTTCATATTTTGGTTCTGCCACTTCCTACTGAGTTATCTTCTCTGTGCTTTGGTTTTCTCATCTAAAAAGAGAGATTAATAATAGCATCTATCTCATAGGATTGTTGTGGGAAGTAGAATTCATGTAAAACCCTTAGAATAGTTCTGGCACATACATAGTAAGTGCTCAATAAATGTTAGCTTCTATGATGATATTTGGCAAAGCTAGCTTCAAGTCATCATTGCTGGTCTAGAACTAGAGGGGGTAAAATAGGGGCTGGAATGAGGGGTGAGTTGAAACAGTATTCAATAGGATAGTCAGGGAAGGCCCCATAAAAGATAATCTGATGACAAAGAGGAGCTAGACAAGCAGAGGCAACATCAAGTGAGAATAAGCTTGGCATGCTGGGTGGGGAGCATAAATAAGAGAGAGTGGGCTGGAGTATGGTGAAAAGGGAGAGAATGGTAGGAGATGGGGAAGGCAGGGGTTCTATCATGTAGTGGTCATAGGCTACAGTGAAGAGCTTGGATTTTATCCTACTTTTAATGTAAACTACTAAATTATGTGATCAGATTTATATTTTTTTAAAAAAAACTTTTAGTTTTATTGTATTGTGGTAAGACCACTTAACATGAGATCTAACTTCTTAACAGATTTTTAAGTGTACAATACAGTAGTGTTATCTATAGCCAAAATATTGCACAGCAGACCTTTAGAACTTATTCATCTTGTACAATTGAAACTTTCTATCTGTTGGTTAGCAACAGCCCATTTCTCCCTCCCCCGAGCCCCTGGCAACCAACATTCTATTTCTAATGAGTTTGACTATTTCAGATACCTTATATAAGTAGAATCATGTAGTATTTGTCCTTCTCTGTGTGATTTATTTCACTTAGTATAATGTCCTCAAGGTTCACCCATCTTGTCACATATTGGAGGATTTCCTTCTTTTTTTAGGGCTGTATAATAATCCACTGTATGTATATACCACATTTTTGTTATCTATTCATCTGTCAATGGACATTTTGGTTGACTCCACACCTTGGCTATTGTGAATAGTGCTGCAATGAATATAGGAGTACTAACATCTCTTCAAGACCCTGATTTTTATTCTTTTGGATAAATACCCAGAAGTAGGTTTGTTGGATCATATGATAGCTCTATTTTTAGTTTTTTGAGGAATCTCCATACTGTTTTCCATAGCAGCTGCACCATTTTGCACTCCCAGTAACAGTTTACAAGGGTTCTATTTTCTCCACATTCTCTCCAACACTTGTCTTTTGTTTTTTTGATAATGGCCATCTTAGTAGCTGCAAGGTGACATATCTCATTTTGGTTTTGATTTGCATTTCACTGATTAGTGACGCTAAGCATTTTTTCACATACCTGGTGCCTATTTGTATATCTTCTTTGGAAAATGTCTATTCAAGTTCTTAGACTATTTTTAAGATCATATTATTAGTTTTTTTGCTATTGAGTTGTAGGACTTCTTTATATATTTTGGAAATTATCCCCTTAACAGATCTATGGTTTGCAAATATTTTCTCCCATTCCATTGTTTTCCTTTTCTTTCTGTGGATTGCTTCCTATGCTGCGTAGTAGCTTTTCAGTTTAATGAAGTCTCATTTGTCAGTTTTTGCAGATTTACATTCTTAAAAGGTCACTTTGAGTACCATGTTTAGAAGGAATTGTGGGGGAGGAGGCAAGAAGAGAAGTGGGGAGATCAGATAATATGGCTATTATAAAACCATGGAGAAGGACGAAGGTAGCTTGCACTTGTATTGTAAGAGCGGGGATGAAAACAAGCAGGTAGATTCTGACTGGATTCTAGGAGTAGAAGTGGCGGAATTTGTTGATACATATAGTGAACAAAAGAGGGAACATGGAAAATCTCTATGTTTTTGGCTTAAGCAACTGGGTGAATATTTAAGATGTTTTCTGTGGTGAGGAAGATTGAAGGAGAAGTGAGTTTGAGAGAGGCGTGGAAATTAGGTCACATTAATAAACTATATGTTGCTTATTGTCTTTCATCCACATGGTAAGCCTGGATATTCCTCACAACACTCTGGTGGCTGCTTCCTTTGGTTAGTACTGAGGACCAGGGTTCTCAAATGTTCTTTGCAACATCTGAGGACTAAAGAATCTCCTTGATCCCTGTAAGGTCACAGGCACATACAGTATCGTTATGCTGGGTCCTGTACTTTATTCAACTGCATCACCTGCTTCACAGAGTACCACTAATAGAACTCAACAACCTACTCTATCACCACCTCTCAGGACATGAGAAAAATCATCCACTTTCAAGTCTTAGAACTGAATGATCACCATGGAGTTATTCGAGATTAATTCTTGACCTGAGCAACAACAAGATGGTCTTGTTTCCAACTTAAAAAAAGAACATGACTCAAGAACCAAAAACTTTTCTGAATTTAACACTAAATCACATTAATTCTTTCAGATAGTACTATATAGGTTTAAAGAAATTTAAACTTAAGTGTATTACTAAAACATTCCTTCTAACATTCATTTGACCACATAGTTTAATGGGTGACCTTATACTTTGTCATCCAAGCCAGCACATTTTGAGAGTGAAAGGAGTTATTGATAAGGGTAAACACTAGGACTGTCTAGGCATAATGGGACCTATGGTCATTCATTTTATAAAGCATGATATCTTAAGAATGAACGTCCAGAACAGTATCTGGTTTCATTTAGCTAAATCACGTGGTGCAATATAAAGAATAAAATGAAAGGAAAAATCAGGAACTCCATATCTACTTAATGTTTTTCTCTTCTTTGTTTTTTATTTGGTTGATTTAAATATATAATAAATGACTAAGTTTTGAAAAGTCAGTTTGTTTACATTTCTGTGAATTATATTTGTCATACAAATCCAGATAAGCTTCTCATTTCATTATATCAACCTACATCATATGTTAGTGCTTTAAAAATACAAAAGAACATGCTATAGACATATCGTCTAAACCTGGAAAGAAAAATTCAACTGATTTCAAAAATTAAAATTATAAAAATTAAAAAAACTAATCTCAACATTCAATATTTATTGTAGTTAATACATAAAAATACCCATATTAATAGGTTTGTTAAATATATGCATACAAAGGAAATATTGTTTACAGACAGAATAAGACTATCACGTCTAAGCGAAATCAAGCTGAATACCAAATCTTTAGTAACCAAAGGGAAAAGGTTCCCCGTAATGTAAATAAATACTTGGGGATGTTTATTTTCTCATTTCAGTTTCATTTTCAAAATATGCCGTATTTTTCGTGTAACCCATTTTTCATCTGCCCAATTACTAGCAATCTTTTTCCTACTATCAAAAATGATCATTTGTTTCCTTATTGTAGTAGATAAAACATCCTTTCATTGTTTCAGCTCACAAGCTGTGCAGATCCTACCCACTGTTCTTGCCTCCAGCACTTCACATTATTGGTGTATTATTTCATGCATGCCCTACTCTTTTATCAATTGCTTTTGAAGTAATGTTAATAGACTAGAAAATTGAGACATTTATGAAGTATAGGCAGTGTTTATGAAAAAATCCATAAAATATGACACAGGCAAGACAAGATAAAAGCAGCATTTTAATAGATTATGGCAAAGAGATCCTGTCAGAGTTGACAACTGACTCCTTCGAGATCACTAATTTTTATGGGATTAATTCTGTGGTATAAAAAATGAAGTTAAATGTCCTAATTAATCTGTAAATAGCACACCCACAATTAAACCTTGTGGCCCGGTCTTGGATTGGGGCTGCAATGATTTTTGAAAAGTAATTATCTCATATTCATAATGAAGAAGGTTTTTCTTTTCTCAGTTTTTTTTCTCATGGCATTTCAGCTAAAAATCCACCTTGATTCAAACTGGAATAGCAGTCTTCTGATACACAAATCAGTTCACAGCTTGGGGTGGGGCCACATCCATTAGACTTGCAAGCCACATACTTACGAATGGTTTATATAGTAAGAAAATAAAATTTGGAGAAATCGTACAGGACTGAGGTGGTGGAGGAAAACCTAAAGTTCCTCCAATTTCGAGCAACTGTTCTTTGTTCCACAGTTTATAGCATCCAGAAAGGTACAGAGTTCCCTTCTCTTATGGAGGTGATAATATGGTGAGGCCCTGTCTCTTATATAGGAGTTAGAAAGTACGTTACGTAGGAGTTAGAAAATAAAGCTATTGTCTGGCTTTTCCTGATGCTGTGGCAGAGTACTCAAGAAACGTTCATTCCATTCCCACTCCTTCCTTCTACCTTTAATATGTGAGTTTAATAATACTTTTTTCTTTTTTTTGCTGAGGAAGATTTGCCCTGAGCTAACATCCATGCCAATCTCCCTCTATCTTATTTTTTTTTTTTTTTTTAGTATGTGGGCCACCAGCACAGCATGGCCACTAACAAAGCAGTGTCAGTCCATGCCTGGGAACCCATCCCAGGCTGCCGAAGTGGAGCACACTGAACTTAACCACTAGGCCACTGAGGCTGACCCAAATAATACTTTCTGTAAATGTATGATGTTATCTATCTGTAGTTAGATGGAAAAAATACAATTTATTAAATATAAAATATTTCAGAATATTTTTCTAACAGTAATGTTAATAATAATGCATACTAGCCTTTATGATCCACATTCATTATTTCATCTCATTCAGACAACAGCTCCAAAGACAAGTATTACTACTACTGCCTCGTTAAAAATAAAGAAACTGAGGCTCAGAGATGTTCAATGAATTACCCTAATCATATCTACATAATACGTGATAGAACAGATTCTTGAAGCGAGATCTCCTGACTTGAAATCCTATGCTTTTTTCAATAAGTATGCTATAAGGTCACGTCTTTGCAATCAGAAAAAATCTGTTGATAGTAAAATATTCTATCAGTTTTGGTGAAAAGAAAATTATTCAAATCAGTGGGAATATAGTTGTCTTTTTAAAGGAGGACAGCTT